AGTCGGGGACAGGGCTTAGGACAGGGGTGGGGACTGGGGCAAGCAGCAGGAACCAGCGATGAGGGTGGGGAATTGGGGTTGGGATAGGGCTGGGGGCTAGTGGACAGCAGTTGAGGGCCTGGGGCGGGAGACCAGGTGACTGGGACAGAGGTTAGTGACCTGAGTGGGAGTTGGGGACAGAGGGTAGGCTCCTCCTTGAGCCTTTTCTCTTTGCTTGGGGCCTGCTTGGTTCTACTGGTCTCCGCTAGTCAGATACTCCCCAAGGAGCCTACCTGGTCCATCACAGGCTGTAGGGAGTGCCTGCATCAGGGAGCCCCATGAGCAGGTGGACCTTGCCTCCCCCTGTTGCACGGGTGGAAGATGGGCGTGTCCTGAGCAGTACTTGTGGAAGGAGATTACCAGTGTGGCTGATGTTTCCAAGGGTCAGTTGTGAGTCTGATGTAATAGGGAGGACAGTTTAGTCACCACCTCTGCCTCATTCGTACTCTCAGGTGGCCTAGGGCTGAAGCCTTTGAGGCCAGTTGGGCCAGGATGTGCTGGGGCTCTGGTGACAGGGATTCATTGGTCTGCCCTGCCCTTGCTGGTTGTACGGTCAAAACCAAATTCATTCTCCTTTTCTTTTAAAGGAAACTTAATGGTCATAAGCTAGGAGTCACGGGGAATAATTGGGGGGCAGCATCTGTGAGTACATCACACTTAGGATGCTCCACAAGTCACTTCTCTGAAGTGGTAGAAATGTTAGCCAGGCACAGTGGCTGAAGCCTGTAATCCCAGCACTCTGGGAGGCCAAGGTGGGTGGATCATGAGGTCAGGAGTTCAAGACCAGCCTGGCCAAGATGGTGAAACCCTGTCTCTACTAAAAATACACAAAATTAGCCAAGCGTGGTGGCAGGTGCCTGTAATCCTAGCTACTGGGGAGGCTGAGGCAGGAAAATCGCTTCAACTCGGAGTGTGAAGGTTGCAATGAGCTGAGATTGTGCCAGTGCATTTCAGCCTGGGCGACAGAGTGAGGCTGTCTCAAAAAAAAAAAAAAAGTCAAGAAATACATTATGTTAATATTCAGCGACTGTAGATGAGATACCATCACTGTAATTGGTGATGTTTCTGGGGAACCTGCAGGCTTCCATGAAATGTGTCATCTTTGTGTTACTAGGAGCCAGATTCAGGGAGGAAGGCCACATCAGGCCAGCATTTGGTGTTCCTTCCTACTTTTGCAGTAGAGTCCAGCAGAGAAATAAATCTATGCTAAATATGATTTCTCAAAAAGAATCCACTAGCGCATACTAGCTATTCAGGAGGGAGGCTGAGCCCAGGAGTTCCAGACCAGCCTGGGCAACATAGCAAGACCCCAACTCAAAAAAAAAAAAAAATCCCTAGTGCGTCTTTCTCAACAGCAAAGGAAGTGGTGTTCCCTTAGCAGTTTATTGTGAATTTCCTAGACATCTGATTGTAGAGGTTTTTATATAACGAGTTTGGGGTTTTGTTGTGTTTTGTTTTTTTAGACAGTATCTCATTCTGTTGCCCAGGCTAGAGTGCAGTGGCATTATCATAGCCCACCACACCCTCAAACTCCTGGGCTCAAGTGATCCTCCTGCCCTAGCCTCCCTGTACAGGCATGCACTACAATGTCTGACAATTTTTTATCATTTTATTTTTTTGTAGAGACAGGATCTCGCTGTGTTGCCCAGGCTGGTCTCGAACTTGTGGCCTCAAGTGATTTTGCTACTTTGGTTTCCCAAAGTGCTGGGATTACAGACATGAGCCGCAGTACCTAGTTGAGCTTGGGTAATTGAACCCAGCACTGCATATCAGTCATTGGGCACCACTAGTCCTTAGCAGTGTGCTAACTGGCTAACAGCAGGCCTGAATTGGTGTGTGCTGGACACTGCCAAAGCTACTTTTGATCTACTGATGTTTTCTAATTTTCTAGGCTATCTTAGCGGCACAGAGACGAGGAGAAGATGTGGAGACTTCCAAGAAATGTAGGTCCTTGTGTTTCCACTTGCAAAATGAGACTGTGCTGTGGGTCCATGTGCTGGTGGGTGTGGTGTGGACGGTGCCCACAGGGACGTTGTCAGCTGAGTGCCTGCCTGCACCGGTGCTGGCTGGAGCCCTGGGAGGCAGCCATCTTCCCAGAGCAGCTCTGGTCGGCATGAGTGCAAACTGAGAGAAAACTCTGGAAGTCCATGCCCTGAGGTGTGTGAACCTGGCACAGCCTGGGTTCCCATGTCCCCTTGGGCTCAGGCAGCCTCTGGGGTCTGGTTACCACTCTGAAATGGTTTTCCGTCAGGTTAATTCCAAACCCTCTCCTCTGCTTTTGCCTCACACCGATTCCAGGGGCTGCTGGCCAGAACAAACAACATTCTATCACCAAGAACACAGCCAAGCTGGACCGGGAAACAGAGGAGCTGCACCATGACAGGGTGACCCTGGAGGTGGGCAAGGTGATCCAGCAGGGTCGGCAGAGCAAGGGGCTTACACAGAAGGACCTGGCCACGGTGAGGCTGCGCCGGCTCTCACTTCTCCTGGGGTTGTGGACTTGGGCGGGGGTGGCCGGAGTTCAGATAGCACGGGGAGGGCAGGCTCCACCCCCCTGGTGCCCTTGCAGGGAATGCCTGGGGAAGCCAGGTCAGCCCGGCTCTCACTGCCTCTTGCACAAAATGCAGCTGTGTGTGGGTGCGTACCTCAGGGGCCCCAGAAGCTGGTGTTCTCAGGCGACGCTCCGCGCCTGGTTTCGTAGCAGTGCTAGTGGAGCTGATGTGTATAAAGCACATGTTCTCTTTAGAAAATCAATGAGAAGCCACAGGTGATTGCGGACTATGAGAGCGGACGGGCCATACCCAATAACCAGGTGCTGGGCAAAATCGAGCGGGCCATTGGTGAGTGTCCCTCCACCTTCGCCGGGTCTGCTGGACAGGGAGACCACCACTTCTGGCTGGGGTTGGTGAGAGTGGGACTCGGGAGATGAAGATGGCCCTGAGGGTCCCTTGTTGTCTGAATTCTGGAGCTTTGCTTCTCCAGGCAATAGAGACTGAGGGATGGTGGGGGCTCTGCAGGCCTCAGGAAACCCCCAAGAGCAGTGGAATCCCACTCCCTTCCCCTTGCCAGTTCCCGTCAGCCCGTGCTGTTGGCCATGGTTCTCTGAGCCTGAGCACAGCGGTCCAGGCCCCATCAGCATGGGGCCGGAAGCCAGTTCCGCAGAGGACTCCTGGCTCCAGTTCTTCCGGAGTGGGGTATTCATGCTCTGCTGTCTAAGATGATCAGACTCATCCTTTTCAAAATTAGATGTGAGGTCCAGGAGTGCCTGTGTGTTGAGAGCCCAGTGAGGAATGGGAGCGGCGTGGCCCCCCTTCCCTGGGAAGATGGTGAAGAGGGGCGGCGTGGGGGGCAGGAGGGAGCTGGCGCTGCAGTAGCCAGTGGCTGTGGCTCATTTCAGGCCTCAAGCTCCGGGGAAAGGACATTGGAAAGCCCATCGAGAAGGGGCCTAGGGCGAAATGAACACAAAGCCTCGAAATCAGTGCGCTCCAGCTGATCTCGTTCTGCCGGTTCCCCTTGGCCGCCAGCACCGCCGTGGGTCTCCTCACGGCCAAACGGAACAAGGGGTCCAGCTCGTGGGGGACCCTCCCCAGCCCATTCCTGCTGTCAAACAAACAAAACCTTGCAAAGCGTTGGGTTCTGCTGACTGTTTTTCTCCCTACGTCGCGTTCCTCAGATGAGGGTGCAGAACTCCGCCTTCCTGTTCTGGGGGTGTCTGCCCAGTAGCAGTTGTGGCTCAGAGGCCTCAGGGAGCTCTGAGCACCACCTTATATGAGGGTGAGGGGTGGAGGCCAGAGGCGCAGAAGGAAGAGGAGCAGTGTCACTGGGAGCTGCTTTCTCTGATGTAGCTCTAAAGAGAAGCTGGGAAAATTTCCTGCCTTTGGCGCCAGGACCAGATTATTCGGTCCTGCTCTCAGCTCCCAGGCCCCTAGTTGTGGGAAAGGCCGGTGAATTTTCATGACTGATGCCCGGGAGTGGGCTGCCAGGGGGCTCTGAAGGTCTCTCTGCAGGGCCATTTCCTTTCGCCCATCTGTGTGGACAGCGGGCACTGGTCAGCCCCATGGCACCTGAAGACGAGGGACGGTGCTAGCCATGCCTGACCGCCACCCTCTGCTGGGACTTAGTCCCCAGGGCGGACAGGAGCCCAATGACTGGCGAGGGTGCCGTGCTGTGCCCTCCAGCACCGCATGGCTCCTGGGGGCAGATGTGAGTTCACGAGGCAGGGTAGGGCTTTCCTATGGGCAGGAGGGGGCTTGGCTGCACAGGTCTGGGTATCGCCACCCTCCCAGGGGATAGCCACCCACAGCCAGGCCTCAGAGGCCACAAGACTGGGCCCTCACCATGGGGTTGTGCCCGAGTCACCCACGTGGAGGACCAGAGCTCTGGGAGCTGAGGTTAGTGACGTTGACCCTGCGTTAGGACGGGAGTCCTCTGCTTGTGTCCCAGGCCAGGTCACAACTTCACAGGGTCACCCTCCTGCTCAGGCGCGGAAGCCAAAGGGAAGGGCTCAGCTGCAGCCCTGGGGCACCTGGTGACCTGGGCACTGTGACCCATAGTCCCTGGGGCAGCTCAGGCCTGTACCACAGAGAGTGGGCCCAGCTGAGGCACTTCTTCCCTCCGGGCCTGCCCCGTGCACCGTGTCCCCTAAGGGTCATCTCCTTTGCACGCTCCTGATGCTGTGGGTCAGTTTCACTGTTGTCCTCAATAGACACAGAGCCCCTGCCCTGGCCCTTGTCCTGGTGGGTCTGTGTCCTCGTGGGAGAGGGTCCCCTTGTCTCTGGTTCCTGAGCTGCATCCAGAAGCAAGCAGGCGCCCCTAGCATGTTCTCCTATCATGTCACTTAACACTGCAGCCCCCACCCTCACTGGCTGGTGAAGTGTGGACGCACTGACTTCAGCCTGGGAGCTTGGGCCGCCCTCATGGGCCAGGGTGTTTATTCACAGAGCAATAGTCAGCACAGGGCAGGGAACGCCCAGGCCTCGGCATGTCCTGAGACCTGCAGCCTGTCCCAGCCTGGGCAGGGCAGGTGTCCGGTCCCCGGCTAGGGTCTGACCAAGTGCTGGATGTTACGTGAGGAAGCGGGGCCTTGTCTGAGGTGGTCTACGGCTTGCTGGTGACAGATGCCGGGAGGGTGACACCATCCTAGGAGGAGGAAGAGGAGTGTTTTTTTTCTTTCTTTCCCGAGACGGAGTTTCGCTCTTGTCACCCAAGATGGAGTGCAATGGCATGATCTCAGCTCACTGACTGCAACCCCTGCCTCCCGAGTAGCTGGGATTACAGGCACCTGCCACCACACCCAGCTAGTTTTTTGTATTTTTAGTAGAGAAGAGGTTTCACCATGTTGGGCAGGCTGGTCTCAGACTCCTGACCTCAGGAGATCCACCTGCCTCGACCTCCCAAAGTGCTGGGATTACAGGTGTGAGCCACCCCGGAAGGAGGAGGAGCTTTGACAGTGGTGGCTGGGAGAGGGAGGGCAAGGATGGACCTTGTGCAGGTGGGGGCTCCTCCCTGGGGGGTTGTGTCCTGCCAGTGCCTACCCTCCAGGGTCACAGCTGAGCACAGAGGCTCCTGCCCACCCATCCCCGGGGGCTCCTACCGCATTGAAAAGGATGTTGTCAAAGCCGGGGGCTGTGGCCTCTGTGTTGCTCTGGAAGGGGCAGCTCCCCCTCTTCTGTAGCCAGCGCCGTCCCCCAAGTCCCAGCAGCACCAGGAGCATGAGCAATAGGAGGGCACTGCCAACTGCAGTTGGCACAGACACGGGTGCGGCTGTGTCCCCTGTGGGCCACAGGGACACGTGAGCCCTCCAAAGCAGCCCCCAGTTCTGGTGTCCGGGTGTAGCGCCTACATCTGAGGCTGAGGAGGAAGCCTGGGGCTGCCTGGTCCCCTCAGCCTCTGCTGGCTCCTGGGGTTCACCCCTATATCAAAGGCAGAGGGTATTTTTTCTGCCACCACAAGGAGGGGGCCTGGCAGGCAGGCAGGCAGCTGCTGTCTGCAGACTTGGTGGGGCTCATGGCCCCAGGTGAGATCCTTTCCCTCACCAAGTGAGAGCAGTCAGTGGTTGCCCTGACCTGGCTGGCAGCTTCTCCAGGATGGACCTTGCCCTGGGTGTGGGCACAGGGAGCACAGAGGCCACAGCCAGGCAGGGCAGGCCCCAGAGACTGCACCCCAGGGACAGCCCAGCTCGGGCAGTGGCCCCAGGGATGAGCGGGGCAGAGAGTGGGGAGGGCACAGGGTGTGGGCCTGGCAGCTCTCCTGTCCTGTCTGGGTGCAGCATGCTCGCAGCTCCTGGGGCCACACGCTGGTAAGCCTGGCAAGCCCTGAGCCGGGCTGGCCCCCTGGGCCCTCTTCCGTGCCTCCACTGCAGCCCAGGGCTCACCTGGGCTGGGGGCAGGCTGCTGGCAACGCTGCCCGGCCAGGTATTCCACATCATCCAGGGCAATGGGCCCCAGGGCTGGCTGGCCACCCAGAGTGGCTTCAAACACAACCTGATGGGGAAGGAAAGGAGTCTGTGTGGGCCCTGGGTGGAGGAGGAGGCAGCTCCTGGCCCGGACAGCCGGCCTCACCTGGAACTCCTTGGTGCTGGCCACCTCCACCTGGGCCTCCAGCCACTGGTGCCGCCAGTGCCCGCCTGTGCCCCACACGGCCAGCTGGCCCTGGGCACTGCACAGCAGCACTCTCAGCTCCCCCTTGTCTGAGAGCAGGGCCAGGGCGTGTCAGGCCTGGGGTCCCGGGACTCCTGCACACCTAACCAGGGGCGGGGTGGGAGGCCACCTCCCCACCTCTGCTCCTGGACCCCTGCTGCCCCCATTGTCCAGGCCCCCGTTGGCCCAGCCGGACTCACAGAAGTGCTCGGGAAAGCCCATGTGGTACCAGAAGCGGAGGCAGGAGGCCGGGGTGGCCGGCAGAGGCTCGCTGCGCAGCCAGGCGGCCCGGCCCCCGGGGCCCAGCACGCCAGTTTCAAAGAAAGCAAAGTGGCCTGGGAACAAGAGGAGGTTGATGCCCGGCTGATGGGCAGAGCCAGCCCTCAGGGCCCTAGCAGAGGCTGGGTGGGCAGGGCCTCCTCTGGATGGGGCGTGTACTCGGTGGGCAGCAGGAGGCCAGGTGGCTGTGTGTGGCCTCTGGGTCGCCTCCCCACCTGGCTCCAGTGGGCACGTACCTGCCTTTGTGCCCAGGGTGTGGTCCACAGGGGGCTGGGGGTAACGAGAGGGGGTGGCTCCCCCGCCCCAGTCCCAGCTGTATCCGCCCAGGCTGGGCCAGGCCAGGTGGCTCCAGCCGCACAGGCCAGACTCAAAATCACAGGAACCTGCAGGACATGGGTGGGTGAGTGGTGCTGCGGCCCAAGCCCTAGGCACCACCACCACGAAGGGAGAGGGCTAGGCAGGCGCCCCAGAGCAGGGCCGAGGCCACAGCAGGGTTCCCACCTGGCCGAGGGCAGGGCCCATCCTGGAGGAGCAGGTCATCCAGAGCCACGTAGGAGTGTGCCACGCCTGCGGCCACTGCCTCAAACACCACCTGGTGGGTGCAGGGCAGGGCAGCCTCAGTGGGTCCAGGCAGCCCTCAGGGGGAGGGAGAGGGGCACCCCACCGTGCACTCACCCTCCAGGCTTGCTCAGCCTGCACGTCCACGCTGCCTAGGCGCCAGGCCAGCCCACCGTGGGCACTGAGGCTGAGCACCTGGTGCTTCCCGCCCTTCTCCAGGTGGACCCGCAGGGTGCCTGCCAGCAGGGGCGGCCCCGGTCAGCAGTGTGGGGAGAGCGCCTGCAGGCCCCAGTCTGAGCTCCCAGGCTTCTGGCCTGGCGGGCGCAAGAGGCTCCCAGTGGCCTCAGCACAAGACTGGTGGGGACACCAGGCCAAGCTTCCCTGAGCCCACTGGGGTGGGCTCCCTAAGCCCCTCACCTGGGTTATGGAGGCTCCCGTGGTACCAGAAGGTCAGGCAAGCAGGCTGGGCGGGGGGCCTATACTCCTTGGAGATCAGGGAGGCTGTCTGGCCCCTGGGCAGTGCGTCTGGGCTGGTGTCCACCACCATGTAGTGCCCTGGAGGTGCCAGCATCAGCCTGCCAGCCCCTGGCCAGCCCCCCAATCCCTGCCCCTGCCAGGCCCCCATACCTTGGGCTGTCTCAGTGGTGTGGTCTGTTGGGGGGCCCCAGGCTGTGTGGCCCGAGGCATTGGCCTGGCGCCTCCAAAGACCCCGGCCTCCCGAGGAGAAGCCGCAGTCCGAATCCTCAAAGGAGCAGTGATGAGGGGCCCAGCAGGGGCCTGGCCGCACGGCCACGTCGTCTAGCGCCATGGTGCCGTGGTATCCGTCCCGGAGGCCCTCGAACAGCAGCTGGGGGTGGAGGGTGTCAGCTGGCAGGGGGTCCTGCCCTGTCCTCCCACCCGGGCGCCAGGCCTCACCTGGTACTGGGCACGGGAGCCAGGCTGGTGGGAAAGGGTGGCCCAGGCCTCATGCCAGCGGTTGCCCTGGGTGCCCGACCGTGACCACAGGTGTGTCTCCTCCCCTTCCCGTCTCATGGCCAGGCGCAGAGTCCCTGCAGGGAGGGAACCAGTCCATAACTGACCTCTCCCCTGTGCCTCGATGGGTGTCAGAGGGGGGCTCTGAACCTCCGGGGGCCTCCCCACAGGCCCTGCCCCACTCCCAGGTCCACTCACCAATCTGGGGTCCATGGAGGTAGTACCAGAAGCTTAGACACTCCGTGGGCGCTGCTGGCACCTGGGGCCTGGAGAGCAGGTGGGCGCTGTGACCCCAGGCCAGGGGGTCTGTGGGGTCCAGGAGCACAAAGTGGCCTGTAGGGGGCATGGGGCTGAGCTGCAGAGATGCTCCACTCCTGTCTGAAAGCCACCCCCGGTCTGAGCGCCCGTCCTACCTTGGCCTGTGGTGTGGTCGTGGTCAGGGCCACGGCTCTCCACCCAGCGCCAGTGTGTGTCTGAGAGGTGGCCTGGGTACCAGCTGCATGTGTCCCGCTCAAAGTTACAGGAGACCTCTGGGGGTGGGGCCAGGTGGGGTCACAGACCTTTCCCCCTCCCCCTCCAGAGCCCTGAGAAGGTGGAAGCTCCTGGGTCCCTGGAGGGGTGTGGGGGTAGCACCCAGGTGGGAATGAGGATGGGCAGCAGGAACCTCTGTCTCTCTCGGTGGTCACTGTGGGGCTACAGTCCTTCAGGGTCACGTTGTCCACCCCAGCTCCCTGCTGGTCAGGGCCGTCCAAGTCCACCAAACCGACAAACTCCAGCTTCATGGGGTAGGGGGATGAGGAGGATCATTAAGTCAGGGCCCGCTCCAGTGGAACCCCCACTCTGGGCTGCCCTCCTCACCTGGAAGGGCCGGCGGTGGGCCCCTAGGAGGACCTTGTCCACCTTCCAGCCACCTGCACTGCTGCTCAGGGCCTGCCATGCCAGCTCCCGGGAGCCATTGTCTACCACAACTAGTGCCAGGAAACCTGGCCAGCGGGGTGGGGGGCGCTGTGGGTCACCCGACCCCAGATCCCTCCCACTGTGCAGGGAGCACCCAGGGGCTGGCCAGGGAGCTTGTGGAGGGCGGCGGTACCTCGGGGCTGGCTCTGTAAATAGTAAGCCAAGTGGAGTTCACAGCTGGGGCCAGAAGGGCCAAGGAGGGGTGTAAGGACCCGGGCCTCAGTGCTCAGCTGCCCCCAGGCCCTCTGCAGAGACAGGAAGTGCCCTGGGGAAGAGCAAGGTGCTCAAAGCCTCGTCCAGGGCCCCACTCTGTCCCTCAGGGATCCCCAATCCAGAGACCGTCTGTAGTGCAGAGAGAGAGCAGAGACTCCTCCAAGGATGCTGCTCACACCCGGGTGGGGGCTTGAGCATTGGGCCTTGGGCCTCACCAGCAGCAGCTGCACTGGACCCCTGGCTCTCCTGGGCTGAGAGACGCCGCCACTGCAGCCGCCCCACGCTGGCGTCCTCCCAGCCCCCGGCCTCGAGGGACTCAAAGTCTGTGGTGCCTGAAACAGCAATGGGCACTGAATGGCAGAGTCCTCAGCCCGCCCCGGCACCTACCCCCTTGGCTCCTCAGCAGGAGGTCTGCAGGAGGCTGAGCCCCTTTACCGCAGGCCTGCTCGTCCTCGCCCCCTGCGCACTGCTCCTCGAAGTCACACAGCTGTTCCGGGGGCACACACAGGTCCCCGCAGGCAAAATGCCCCTGCTTGCAGGAATCCTGGAGCCGTGAGCTGGGTGGCAGGGGCTGGGGGGCTGGGGCCCAGGGCCCAGGAGGCAGTGGCTGCAGGGTGGACACCTCTGTAGGGGCAGAACTGGGTCAGGTGGCAGGAATGGGGAGTGCTGTGCCTCTCCAGGGCAAGGCAGGGTAGGGCAGATTCAGCAGGCTCACCCGGGACTGGTCTGCAGTGGTCAGACAGGATGAGGTCATCCAGACCCACGACGCCCCCCGGGCCTGTCTGCCCGGCCAGGAGGATCTGAGGGCAGAGGGGCTCAGGGGGTGCCCAGCCTATTTTCCCCCGGGGTCTGGTCCCTGTCCACCCGCAGCAGGTACCTTGTGGGTTCCCCTCCCCTGCCCCCAGCCTGGCTCCCCAGACCCCACCCTCTTGCTGTTCCCTACCTGGAAGGGGTGGGCGCTCTGGATGTCAACACGGTCTCGGACCCACGCAGTCCCCAGCTCCCCTCGGCGCCTCCGCAGCAGGACGGGAGCCTGGGGGGCACTGGACCCCAGAGTCTGCAGGAACAGCTGGAGGCAGCCAGCCTCAGAGCCATGCAGGTAGTGATAGAAGATCAGCTGTGGAACCAAGAGCTGGCTGGGGGCCCTGCACCTGGGCAGCCAGCACGGAGGCCCTGTGAGCCCCACCCATCTCACCGAGCAGTTGGAGGCGCCTGAGGCTTGGAATTCCGGGCTGGAGAGTATAGCAGGGGTGCCAGGCTCGGCCACAGAGACCAGGAAGGAGCCTGCGGGAAAGGGCGGGAGTGGGCCACAGCCGCTGGGCTGTGGCCACGTGGACGGGGCCTGGGCCGGGTCCCCTGTGGGCCTCACCCTGTGCACTGTTACGGCTGTGGTCACGGCGTGGCCAGGAGGGGCGCTCAGGACCACCAGCACTGTGGTTCCAGGACCAGCCTTCCGAGCGGTTCCATGGGCCCAGGCCTGTCTCAAAGTCGGTGGCTGTGTGGTGGCCTAGGGCAGGAGGTGGGGGTGTCAGGGCCACTAGGCAGTGCTTCCTGCAGCCGTATGGCCCCAGCTCCAGGGTGGCCCTGGCAACCACGCCCCCAGAAGGATCATCCCAAGGATCTAAGGTGCCCCCTCCCGGATGAGTGTGAGGGCCCCCACCAAGGTGTCCAGTGTCCTTGCCTCACTCTGGGCCCCCACCCTGGCCTCACCACAGGTGAGTGGGTCCTCATCAGACAGGTCCCCGCAGTTGTCTTCCCCGTCGCACAGCTGCTGGGGCTCCACACAGACCTTGTTCTGGCAGTGGTGGTGTCCCAGGGGGCAGCTGGCCTGGGGGGCTGGGTAGGGCAGGGTTAACCCTTCACCGAGGCCCCGGGAGTGGGAGAGCACTCGGGGGCAGACAGGGTCTGGGCAGGGGAGTGGGCAGGCGGGGCCCTCCCGGGGGTGGAAAAGGAAGAGGTGGTGCCTTACTGGGCAGACCACAGTCCCAGAACTCTAGGTCATCTAGAGCCACAGCGCCCCCGTGGGTGGCATTTCGGGTGGCAGAGAAGGTCACCTGAAGAGAACAGGCCCTCAGGACCTAAGTCAGAGCCCAGAACCCCCCCAGGCTCCCACTCGTCCAGACCCTCCCAGCTCACTCGGAAGTCACCCCGGATGCGGCCTGTGGTCACTGCCAACTCCTGCCAGCCGGGGTCCCAGGACCCTGTGCTCTGCCACAGGGTCAGGGTCTCTGAGCCGTGGGTCACCTCCAGCCGCAGCTCAGCCACATCTGCAATGTCAGGGGTCCCAGGGCAGCTGCGGCCCTGCTTGTCCCCACCCGCCCTCCCCTTGGGCACCCCCCATGAGCCTTGGGGGTCCAGGGTGCACCTCCAGAGGCCGCATGGTACCAGAGCCTCAGCTTGCAGGAAGGGGCTGCCTCTCGCAGGGTTGGCGAGCGCAGGGCTGCGGTGGATGCCTCTTTCCCTCGGTGGGTTCCGACGGCCATGTACCAGCCTGGCCCAGGTGAGAGGTCAGGAAACAGGGCAGGGAGCAAGGAGGGTGTTGAGACAGGGCCGCGCAGAGACTCGCCCTGGCCTTACCCAGGTCGGTGCCCAGCGTGTGGTCTGAGTGAGGCCCAGGACCCTCCAGTGCGGCCCCTGCCCTGTCTCGGAGCCAGCTGTAGCCTGAGGTGCTAATGTCCCGCCAGCCGCAGGAGTCCTGCTCGAAGTCGCAGGCGAAGGGGGTGCCCAGGGCGAGCGAGGCCCCACGATAACCTGGGAGAGTGGGTGGTCAGGTGTGTGCGCCAGACCTGCTCACACTGGCCCTGCCCGCCCATCTGGCCTTGGCTTACCACATTGGGCCTCATCTGAGCAGTCCCTGCAGTCACACACAAAGTTGCACGCGGCCTGGCTGGGGCTCCTGCAGTGGCTGGGGACCCAGGCCCAGCCTGGGGATCTTGCTGCGGGGAGGGTGACAGCCAGGGGGCCTGGGTGCAGAGTGATCAGCCATCCCAGCCTAGGACTATTCAGCCTGCCTAGGACTATTCAGTTTTGGCACTGGACATCTTTTGTCCAGGGAAGCCTCTCAGACCAGGAGATGGGGCAGGGAGGGACCAGGACCCATCAGAGAACTCCCACCCGGCTCTGGAAACAGAGCATGCTCCTGTTTCCAGCCCTGAAGAGGCTGGGGAGGAGGGCCTGGGCCTGTGTGGGGATGAGCACCCTGCCATGGGCACCCCCAGAAAGGTAGCAGGAACCCAGTGTGCCCAGCAGTGAACTGGGCACTGGGAGGGTGACCCCCAATGGGAGGCACCAATGGGTGGCCCAGGGGCTTCCACAGGCTCCGCCCAGTCCAAGGGTGGCAGACAAAGGCTGACAGAGCTGGGGGGCACCTCCTGAGCCCTCTTGTCCCAGACTGGGAGGGGAGTCTTGTCTCTTCCTTTGCTTGGCAGGCCTGAGGACCCCATGGGCTGATTCCAGGTCACCCCCATTGCAGACCGGCCAAGGCAGTGCCTGGCAAACCACCTTCCCTTTGGGGCTCAGGCGTCAGCCCTGGTGCCCATCACTGCCACACAGATGGTAGGCTCAGAAGCCAGAGCCCCTCGTCCTGCTTCAGGAGTGAGACAAACGACTTACCCAGTAACAGGACCAGGGCGGGCAGCAGGTGGCTGGGCAGAGGCATGGTTGGGCCAGAGGAAGCAGGGCCAGTGCGGCCACGCAGGGCGCCTGGGAAGTTCTGTGCGGTTATGAGCCTGCACTGGCCCCACGCGCTGACTCTGCTGTTAAGTGGAGGGCCCCTCGGCCTGGCCCCACCCAGTGCTGACGGTGCCAAGCATAGGCCGGGAGAGCGGCCCCAGGAGGGGGCCTCTGACCCAGGGTCAGCTCCCACCTGCTCGGCTCCCTCAGACACAAGGTCAGGCTCTTCCACCCTGCCCTGCCCTGCCTGGTGGAGGGGAAGTTCCCAGTGGAATGGGGAGGGACCCAGGCACCCCACCAGGACTCTGCTCGGCAGTGTGGGGTGGGCAGAGGCCGCCGTGGCCTCTCACTGTGCCTTCGGCACTAGCCTGGTGGTCAGGACTCAACCAGTCCAGTAGCTGCGGGAGTCCAGCATGTGCACCAGAGCCGGCCCCTGTGTTCGCAGCTGTGGGGTACCTGCCTCTGAAGGATCACCCCCTCATTCATTCACCCTGAGCATCCAGGTGCCATCTGGTGCCAGGCACAGGGTCCCTAGGAGCCCAGAAACTTCTGGTTCTCATGAAACAGACCCACACTTGGGGCAGGGCTCTTTGAGGCTGGGGAAGGAGTGTGGCATTTGGAGCCAGGCCGTTTGTGATTTCCCACGGTGTGACCTCGGAGCTTGTGTCACTGAGCCTCGGTGTCCCGGTCTGTAAAATGTGGTCACGACGGCACCCATCTGGAGAGGCTGGCCGGAGGACCAGTGAGCTGACAAAGGTGGGGATGCTCTGTGTACAACCAGCCCTGGCCCCCAGGGTGCCCCTGCACCACCCCACGGAGTGCCACTGTGTCTGGGGCTTCCCAGGGCAAGGCCTGAACCCATGCCATGCCCACAGCCCTGCCAGGTGCAGGAGGGACCTGGGAGGGGCCCCCAGAGTCAACGTGAACCTGCAGGGTAGGTGCAGCTGTGGGACCTGACCCTGGATACTGGCAGGCCCCATGGGGCTAGTCATGGAAGAAGCCTGCAGGCCAAGCCTCAGGGCAGACAGGACACTGGGGAGCCCTGGGATGGGTTCACAGGAGGGAGCACTGGTGGGTGCCCCAGGTCTTGGCCAGCCTGAGGGATCAGGCCCTGACTCCAAGATGCCCTGGAGGACAGTGACCGTGGGAAGAGCAATCAGGCCATCACCAGGGCCCCCTTATCAGACCCCAAAGGGCTGAGTGTGCACGGCCACTCCCTGGGGCCACTCCTGTGCTCCCCCACCCACCTGCTTTAGTTAGGGTCTGGGGGGCCCTGGAGGTGGTGACGCACGGTGCGGAAGCCAAGGACAGAGTTCAGAGACTGGGAGGCGTGGCAACACGTTTAATTCTGTGGTCAAGCTAGCCTGTCTGCAAAGCCTGGCAGACGGCACGTCACCAGGGGCTGCCGCAGAAGCAGGCAGGGCTAGCCCCAAAAGGGGTGCAGGCAAAGGCGGGGGCTCCGACATGGCTGCTGGAGGTAGCAGGCCCCAGGCTGGGAGTGCTCAGTAGCCATCGTTAGCCCAGGTAACCTCGTAGTCGGGGTACTTGGCTTTGATTTTCTCAGTTGAAATGGCATGCTGGGCAGGACCATAGGCCTGGAGAGAGAAGACGCCTGCTGGCACCACCTGGACCCTTCGACCCCGTGCCCTGGCTCTGGGCATCCAGCCACCAGCCACACCAGAAGCGAGTGTGGGAAAGGGACAGACAGTGCCTGGGGGTGCCAAATCCACCATCCCGACCGCCCTTGGGGGCTCCCCTGGGGAGAGGCGACCTCCACAGGCAAGCAAACCTTGAGGGTGGATCCTGGGGCTTGAGGCACCCTTGAGGCACCCAGAGGGACGCACGTGGTTCTCATCTGCTGGTGGTTTTTGTGAAGAGCACGGGCGGGGACTCTGAACTCCACCCAGGTACTGACTGCCTCTGGGGGCCCAGGGCGCAAAGTGCTGGAGGACAGCTAGAGCCCAGCAAGGCCTCCCGGGGCAGGGAGAGGGAACGGCAGGCCATGTCTGGGGGTCTCCCTCCCGCCCCTCAGGTCTGGCATGTGCTCCATGGGGGAATGCAGGAACGCAACTGGCCCTGGAAGGAGGGCTCTGCCGCCCACCCTGGGAGAACCCCGGGAAGCCTGCGTGCTCATCTGGGGCCACGGGTCAGGGCAGCAGACTCAGGTGGGCCTCGAAGCTGGAACCGGGGCCTCCAGCAGGGCGGGACGGGGCTGCGGCTCACCATGGAGTAGCCGTACACGTGAATCTTCTTGTCCTGGCTCTGGTGGGAGATGCGCCCGCCGCCCAGACACTCACAGTCACAGCCCTGCTTCTGCATGTCGCCCGACACTTTGTCGTAGATGTCCGCTGGGATGGGAGGGCGACCTCAGGACGTGCCCTGGCCGCCCTTGGAGGCCGCAGGAGGAACTCCCGGCCGAAGGGGTCTAAAATCCCAGCTCTGAACAGCCTCTTCCCCAGAGGAGACGAAACCCCTTGAGGCTGGGACAGGGATGAATGAGAGGAGGGTGGAACCGGGGCGAGCTCGGGGACTGGGAGACTGTCGTGAGGTGTCAGGCCGGGTCACGCCTTTCCCGCCCAGGACCTGAGCCTGGCTCAAACCTAGCAGGGGCAGGGCTGGGAGCAGAACGCAGTCGGCGGCCCGCAGCACCCACCCGGGC